TGTAGCGACAGGAGTCTTACATCCTGTACCAGTAAGGGCAAAGTCAGAGACACCGAGCTCAAGAGCATGTCGAGGAGTTTGAACACCCTTGGCAATGTTGGACTTTGGTGAGTCGCGGTGAGACTTTCTGGAAGACTTTGTGAAATGTGATGTTAAGTTTCCACCGTATGTTGACTTGGATGATAATCGTACATTCTCTTCAGATACCTTTCTCTCGGGTGGAGTAAAAGGAGATGAGTTATTGATCGAGAGAGTTTGGGTGCGTGTACGAGGAGATGGGGTCAAAGGCATACGACCGCCAGCGGTACGTGTGGAAAAGAGCCCAGTGTGGGACTTAATGGGGGTTGATACTGCGGTGGCCATTTTGCAATATCAAGGTATGATCTCGGTCGAAAGACAAATTAATGAATCGATCGATGATAGGAGTAGATTCGGTATAACGAACGAGCTCCAAGAGACTCAACCTAATGGTTCCTGGTAATTGTTTGGGGTTAGTATAATTTGTATTTGTGCTCGATATATCGAAAAGTTCTTCTATATAAGAATGGCTTAAGAGTCGGATAACGATCAATGGCGTGTGGCAGAAAGATCTAATAGACTTGAAGTATTCTTGTAATTGAAGGTATGTTGTTTATGTTTTGTATGTTATGCGATTATGAGTAGTGAGAATGAAGATGAGAGGTAAAGGTACGGAAGTGTAGAGAGATTGCAAATGTTGCATGAAGAGAGAAAGAAAGTCTTTGAGAAGGGAATATTCAAGAGCTTTTCTACTCGTTTGTTTACTCCACTGAATTAGTTTGGTTGTGAGGGGCAACCATCCCGCAACGATTAAAAACGTAACACTTGAACCTCAGGCAATAACTTAGTACTGTTCCCAATCTTGAGCCACAAATCCCAGAGCGCGTATATTAATTCCGACCCGCCGACCCACCTGCAGCCCCCATGGACTCTTTCCAAAATACTTCAGATATTCCATCCCATCGTCACCCGTGCATGATTTTTATGTATATTGAGGTTGAAGAACCATGAAAAGTTTAATGTCATCAAGTACATCTTAAATTACCATTTGGACTGTACTCAACGTGAAATACAATTCATACAATCTTCTTTGTCTCACCAAACAGAAGAAATCCCCATCCTGCTTCCTTGACTTCTTTTGGTTTGATCTGTTTGTCCGCCATTTTCTATTCGTCTGGGGAGTTTGTGCACATTTGCACAGCATCAACTCTTTTTATTAACCAATCTAGCATGACCACATAGGATACCACCTCTTATTATGGCTCAGCCTTCTACACCCGGCGGTACACCCTACTCCATCTTTGGCCCTGGCTCTTCTACTCCTACCCATACCAATCAACTTTCGGGAGGTCCTCCTACCACTCCAGGTGCCGTTCCTTCAAGCAATACTTTCTTAATGCCGAATTCGCCCGTGAAGAATAGATTGGGTATGGATGGGTATAGACCCAAGGTTACAAGAACTCTTGGTCAGGTAATTCATGAAACTCTCGAAACTTTGCGGACTATTTTCTGACCCATGTTTAAACTTCTATAGCGCCCAGCCTGCCTTGTCAATGCCTCTGTTACCTATTGCGGCAACAATCAGATATATGCCTTTGGCGGTTTCGATCAGTATACCGACGAGGTCTATAACCATGTTTTGAGACTTGATCTAGTTAGTCACCAATGGAATCTGGTCGACAATTATGGCGACATTCCCGGTGTACGAATGGGTAGGTCTGATATGTGCTCAATGCGTCTACAGTTCTAACAAGTCTTACAGGTCATACCGCTACACTCTACCAAGGCGAGAAACTACTCATATTTGGTGGTGAAAACGAACATCGTACATACCTATCTGACCTTATCATTTTCGATCTCAAGACCGCACATTGGACCCAACCAACCGTATCTGGACCTATACCAAAAGGGAGAGCAAGGCATGCTGCTGTTCTACACGAGGATAAGCTATTTATCATTGGTGGTATTACCGGTCATAATAATTATGTGTTGGATGATATTTGTTACCTGGACTTAAAAACTTTCACTTGGTCTCGAGCATGGCGTTTCGTTGGACGATTTGATCACTCGGCATATTTATGGGGCGATAGAGTTTGGGTTTTTGGAGGTCTCAGCGAGGACATGGATAAAATTGGTGATGTATGGTGGTTAGATTTTAAGGGTAGCCCAGCATTCGAATCAGCACCTTCATATGGTTCCATGGACAGGCACGCAGCTCTCAGTCGTTCTCCTCGACCTTCGTTTTCAATGTCTCAGTCTGCTGTAGGCAGTTCAGGTTATGCCGCAAATTCAAGCAGCGCACAGGTCAATCCACCGTCATTCCAATTGACTACTTCTCCTCCTCTTGCCCCTGGTACAATTTCTTCGTTGAAATTCGTATCTGGTCCCAATATACCCGCCCAAGGCTCCGGTATGCATTTCCATGTTTATACATCCGGAACTCTTCTCGATTTCGTCACTCCTGCAGCAACAATAACACCACAGGAATGTTCTTTATCATCTCTGGAATTGGACACACTGCGTTGGCAAAAACTTGCAGAAGGTCGAGATATTTTCAGACCAGGTTATAGATGGCATTACTGTACTTTGAATGACGAGGGTACAAAGGCTTGGCTTCTTGGTTGTCCAACTGATCCAACAGCAACAGATCTAGGTCCAGGTGGGTTTGAAGAATATCTGAGGTATGTGGACATTTACTTGTTTCTAGATAATAACTCTTGCTGATCATTCCTTCTTTAGTGATATAATGGAGATTGATCTTCGACGATATGGTTTACTCGGCAACGGTTTAAATCCCGAGCCTCGAGAAGAAACTTCGCGATTATCATCCTCTGGCAGAATGAAAGTCGAAACCTCCAAAGGTCTTGGCATGGATTTAGCCAAAGTTTTCAATCAAGCACCAGAAAGTGGTAGTGGGGCGGATTTTATCATCACTGCGTCAAAAGAAGATGAATGGGATGAGGATGATTCAAGCTCCAGAGGTTCTATCAGTCAGGTTCAACAAAACTGGTTGGCTCCTGATGCACCAACATCTCCTCCAATCCATGTCCACAAACTCATTCTCCAAGCTCGATGGCCCCACTTTGCACGCTTATACAATGCGCAAATGGCAGAATATCATACAAAAAGAATGCACATACCAGAACCTTATCCAGTGGTCAAGGCATTCTTATACTATTTGTATACTGACAGTATCCACCCAGACGACTGTGCGGAATTAGATGACGTTGCAGGGCTTTTGGTTATGTCAAATATCTACAACATTCCCCATCTTAGATTGTTGTGTGTTAATCGATTATCAAAAGAATTGGATGTCGATCACGCATGTGTTATTTGGCATTCCGCTGGTATTGCCAATGAAGAATGGTTACGCAGACGTGCTGCCAGTTTTTGTCTCACGCATTGGGGCAGAGTTGTTCGCACGCCCGGATTTTTAAGACTGCCACGCCAAGCCTTGGTTGATTTATCGCAGGAAATCGATATGGAAGGTCGTGTTGTAGGAGGTGAGCATACTTTTTCGTGTCGATGATTTTAGTGAACACTTCTAACACAAAATTTTAGGTGAAGAATTAGAATTTGTTGGAGGACTTGGTGGCTCTCGTTTTGGTGTAGGTGGTGTGGTTCGAAAGACTAGTGTTAGTAGCACTCATACACAAGGTGTAGGTTCCGAAGTTGATGACAATGAAGAAATGGAAATGAATTAATGAAACGAATTGATATGGTATAAATAAGATTCAAATTGGGTCCATATGGTGGGCTGGGCGTTGGCTACTTGCACATTTTGCATCGGGAATGTCTAATAGGCACGACAAGGAAGGAAAGGGAAGCATTATCAGGCGCCTGGATCCTTGCTATTATATTTGGTAGTTTTCAGTAGGGAATATAGAGATACCATGTTACGATACAAATATTATTATGAACTAAATGGTAGTTTTGCGTGTGCAAAGTGGAGTGTCGATCAAGTAGCCTTTATTCGAGATTCTTGATGAAGCCTTTGATGAGAGTCACTTGAGTGGCTTGATCGGTACTTCGTTAGGTATCCGATTCCAATTTTGAAAATGCAATGATCATCTAGGTGTCTGTAGTTCAGCTATCAGCCATGTTGTCTCGTTTTGTTTCGTGAAGTTACCACAATTTGACTTTTCAAATCAACTCTATACAGAGACTATTACCACCTTAATATTTGCTATTCGATTATAAATTAATTAGCTGTATTATCTCCTGGGATCCAGAAATGATTGGAGTTAATTCGTGGGTGCATGGACTGGAAAAAAACTCCTCAAATTTACAATAGTCGTGATATATTCGGATTCCACCAAATTCTCTTGAGAACTACGCATCTTATTGTTGGATCTGTGTTGAATTAGTGGAAAAAATCTCGAATTCTTATGGGAACGTCGAAAGTATTTCAGAGGATCTCGAGTGAACTTTTGAGCTGTTTGGTGAGGGCTACTGTTGATACCTACGGGGTGGTTATTGCGGCATTACGTCACCTGGATCGAAATAGTTATCGATGGGTTGAGTGTTAAGCGAGAAGATTCTATCTACTTGAGATTGCACTATACTCGTTTAGTTATACATGTGTTCGCATTGAATTGGTTGATTGATATTGAGGTATTTTGTTTCACGGTTGAGTGGTAAGTACGTAAGTATTGTATATAAGTTCATGATAACTCTTACCAACTGGATTAGATGTCGAAAATGAATCGGAGGTTTGCACTTATGATTGCTTTTACATGTACCAATTCCATGTTTATACAGCTACAATTACGGAACGGTTTTTGTTGACTTGGAATTTGTGTTTGGAATCTGAAGTACAGACTTATCTATCTCTAAATTTGTAATCGAAACGATGTGCGTTAGTGTCTAGGTCGAATACTCTTGAAGAATATAGTAGTGCTGAATTGTGCAGTAGCACCTCATCTTTATTCCTGAATGTCTCTTCTATTCAAATTTCTTCTTTGCCGCTGCAGAACCAGTACTCAGGAAAAAAGGGAATAGGAACCCCCTGTCTCCAAGCCTAGCCAGCCATTTCGGATCCTGTTCCTTTCATTCCCATCCAGCTTCTTCCTCACCCCACCATTTCCCTCCAAAGTCCACGTTTTATTTTCTGTTTCCTGTAAAAGTTTCTCGCTCTCCTCGTCGTCCCTCCTCAAATTCCCCACTCGTTCCTCCAAAACTACTCCGGGCTCCTCACTTATATCTTCCAATACCCTCGCATCCTCTTTCTCCTTCCCGCCTCCCCTTCCCTCTCCATTCTTCTCCCAAAACCTCCTCCCCAGCCTCCGCTCTCCCTTCCCCACAACTCCCTCCTTCATCTTCCCTTCAAGTATCCTCTCCCTCTCTCTCAGAGATTTCTCTCTCTTCTCCTTCTTTTCCCAACATGCTGCACAGAATCCATTCCCACTCTTAATAACTCTTCGTTCATATTTGGTCCTATATGCTGGACATATATTCGTACTATCGATATCCGTAGAAGTATCCTTAATAGGATTCGAACAGGGAATAACATATGGACGCCAACTGTGCGTGCAGATACTATAGCGGAATGTTATACTGCGGCACATGTTGCCAGGTGATGATGTGATGCGCGATGACGGATGTAAAAGTGATAGATAGATAATTGTGAAGTGTTAAGAACAAAATGATATCGATTTGAATAGTTGGGACTAGAAAGTATTAGATTTAATCCCGTGTGAAGTGGGAAGAGGAATATACTAGATGTCTTCTGAATGTGCCACTTGAGCTTTTGATTCCAAATAATACACTCTCTTCTTCTCCTTCAAGTTTCTCGTTTTGTGATATGTTCGGTTCTCTTAAATTCAACCTTGAAGATCTTCTTGATATTGCTTGGTGTATGCTCTTGATGTATGCTTTAATTTCTTCGTGGTTGAGAATTCGATATTTTGCGTTTTCGTTCGTTATCCCAGTTTCCCATGAACCAAATGATAGACGTTTCGAGTCTTCGAGTTATACAGCTCTTAAAGCAAGCTTTCTAAGGGTAATATATGCGATAATCGGCGATTGATATACCAGCCTATGCAAAAGCTTCGCCGTGTACTGAATGGCTGTGAGGCTTTTCTTGATCTGAGCCTCTGAATCGTTATCGTATTCACTGTTTATAAAGCGGCTGAATGTATAGTACAAAAAATGATATGATTGTCTGCTTATCTTCCTGAAAGCTAATGAGAATGAGTAAATATACAAGTATTCAGAACTACTATACATGTACCCACGTCAGAAGTTATGTAAATAAGCAAGCAACAGCCAAACCAATAACCAAAAAACTAACAAAGTAAATAAACCCACTCATCCTCCGCCTTTATCTTCACCCTCACATTTCCCTCCACGTTCAACCTTGTTCATCCTGATCACAATTCCATATTCTCGCTATCATCACCATCACCATCATCCTCTTTCTCCTTCTTCTATACATCCCCCATGCAACGGGAACCATGCACTATGCTCCCTCCCTCCCACATCCACATCCTCCTCCTCCCTTTAACTATTTCCCATCCCTCCACTCTCCTCACTCCTCACTCCTCACTCACCCATCTCAATCAACAACCCCAGAAAAGAAAAAACTTATTCCCCGTCAAGTCGCTCCAGATAAATTATCAAAAGCCAACTTAGTTACAACAACACTATAGACAATGGCACAATGACATCTCAATCATTTTACTCCTCACGCGTTGCTCGTGGAATCATAATCAAAATCACAATCATAATCACAACTACAGCAACCTACACAACAGAACAGAACAAGACAGAGCAAAAGGGAATAGCTGCATAAAATGGGCTGTAGATATCAATCGATAGATAGCATAATTCCACCCGATTCTCGCATCCTTCACACCAAAAAGAAGAAAAAGAAACAAAAACAAAAACGAATTCACGTCATTTGACGAAACGTGGAAATTCAACATGGACTATAAGATTCTATCAAGGGAGGGAAAAAAATCGCATTTGGTATCAATATTCTCTCTCCATCGATTTCTCTGTTCCCAAAAGTCTAGATATCATATTAGATCATCCACATCGGATCACATCTTATCATACAATCAACCACCCTCCGCTCCCACTCTAAATCTCAATCACAATACACACTCCAAACCCCTATTTAATCCCACTCCAGGCCATACCCAAAAGGACATCTCTCCCCTCCTCCCCCTCCCACTCAATCCCCACCTCCATTTTCTCCCTCGCGCCCCCACGACTCTGCAACGCCACCAATCTGTCCCCCCTAAAATAAACCAACACACCTCCCTTCCCATTGCCCTGCGCCGTAACCCTATAAAGAGGTCCCGCACTATGCAACACCTTCTTCTCGGGAACAAACTGCAGATCATTCTCAATACACCAATCTTCCACCTTCTCCCTGAACGAGACTTCTTCCGAAACCTGTGCCTTTTTCGGTGGCTGCACAGTTGCAGGTTTGGGGGGGAGGGAAGACACCGCTGGAATTTCGGGCGCGGGAAGATTTCCCACTTTCTCTCCAAGTCGCAACGCGTTCTTGATCATCTCATGTCCCTTTTCGAACTCTTCCTGTATCGCATTCAACTCTTTGATTTCTGCTGGGAAAACCCCATCACGCCACCACTCAAACCATTGTCCAATTTCTTCGTTTGGACCAACAATCGTGAGCCATTGATGCAACACATGATGCCACATCGGAAAGACCGTATCCACAATGACCTGTCCCACAACCCTCGGTTTCAGTATATCTTTCCAAGCGAGTACTCCTTGAAGACTGGACATATATGGAGACTGATCATTCGGATCGACTCTAAAATTCTTCTCGTTCTTGAGAAACTTAGCCATGCTAGGCAGAACATGATTCATAACCAATGGAGTCCACGTATCATTCTTATGACTAGGACAAAGCACTTCGCGCCATTGCGAAAGACCTGGTATGACACCTCTATGAAAATCCCAAGAATCAATTAGATGTCTAAATTTGCGCTTGACGTCACTGACAAGACCAGTTGAACTTTTCGGATCGGCGTGATAGGCGGGTAAATGTTGTAGCCAGGGGAATAACCAAAGATGAGGTAATTCGTGATTTCTTCGCTTCTTTGGATTCCAAGATGAGACTGCATCATTAAGTCTTCCAACTATTGCCTGATCTAAAATCTGTGATCCAACAAACTTTGGCAATAATCCTTGCCAAGCATCTAAAAATGCCAGTACTGGAGCGGGATTGTATACATCCCAGCTTTTATTGATAGATGATACAATTTTGGGGAAGATAATCTTATAGATCATACTTTCATAAGGAGTAGTCGATTTGACCCTGTTCTTATGCGAGGTATTCATGAAAGAATCCTGACCAAGAAGAGCCTTCTCGTTAGTCGCGGCTCCCAGAACATGTCGAATTTTGTAAAGATTCGGAATCATCCCATTCAATTTGGGATCCTCAAGAGGTTGCCAACCTTCTGTAGCTTGACGAAGGAAAGGATGAACGGCAGCGACTGCAATATTTGACAATTCTTCATTAGCTCCAGATATGTCAAGCCCATCCACGGTTTTCAGTGCTTCAATTACTGGATCCCACTGCCCATCCTGTACAGCCTTGGCAATACCTTGAATACTCTCCGCAAAAAGTTTCATTTGCTCATATTGCCGCTGTTCTTCATCTAGTTCTTGCTGTTGTTGAATGAGCTCCATTTCTGTATAAGCTTTCCTCTCCTCAAGATTCTTCCATTCTTCAACAAAGGCCGATAGATCATTTTGGGCTCTTCGAGCTAATTTCCTATTCTCGATTTGTTCCACGCTTTCTGTCTTTGGCGGTCCCGCAGTAGGAGTCAATATTCCAGATGTAGAAGTCAGTAATTTTTGACCGGGACCAGTCATATCCAGAATCGGAGCGAATGCTTCCGGAATTTCTAAGCCAGGCGCAGCTCGTTGTACTTCCTCCACGGTTCGATATTTTGGCTTCGGTGCTTTTCGAGGAGTGCTCACTCCACTCATACCACTATCCGTACCACTTGTCTTTGGCTTCCTCTTGCGTTTCCTCCTCTCCTCATCAGAATCTTCGATTTTCTCTCCCCTCAATTTCGCTTGCCGTTTCTCCTCTTCTTTTTCTTGTTTCGATTTCTCAGCTACCGATCCCAATCCTACACCTTGCGGTCGCAAAGTAACCTCAATAACACCGCTTCGACCCTGTCCCTCTTTACCCAGACCTTGCCCCTCTTTATAACCCATCTTAGCCATCATCCTCGCCGCAAAAGACATCCCATTAACCGGTGTTGCACCACCACCCGTTTTCTTTCCACCGCGCCCACTCGTAGGTGTAGAAAACGCGCTCGGCCTTGCAATCCTCGGCGTTTCTTGCTCATCATCATTATTCATTAGTATAGTAGGATTATTCGCCGAAGATGGCACAAAGCCCCGTCCCAAAGGCGTACTCGCATTCGAACCCAATCCAGTATTTTTCGATCTACTCGGCGCTGGACTCTGAAATCCTAGTCCCTTCCCGGGAGCACCAAATCCCAATCCTCGAGGCGCATTCGCTTCTTCTTCATAATCTCCCATTTCTACATCTTTCCCCCCATTATTCGAACCCGTTTCGACTTCATCATCCTCATCCTCATCTTCATCCTCCTCCCCTCCAACCCTCTCACCCCCCGCCACAAAACTCATCCCTTTCCCCCTCAAACTCTTCTTCTTCCACCTCTTCCCAGGACCCCCCTCATCCTCACTCTCACTCCCAAAAACACCCAACGCCGCACTTTCCTTTGCATCCCTACCCGTGCGCCTTCGTTTCCTGGGATTATAATCTGCGAATTCTTCTCGAGGATCGGTTGATGGATGTAAGAAATCATTTTCATCACCCGACGATTCATCAGATGAATCGCGAGGGAATGCGTTCATAGACATTGTGATTTCAAATCGGCGGCGAAGTTTAATTGTATGGAAACTCCCTATAGTTGTTTTATTTTAATGGTCATGGAAGGTTGAGATTCGGATGTGACAGCCTTGCTTAGTCAGGATGCTTTGGAGAGCGGCGGGCGCTCGAGGAATTCTGGCAATGTTTTCTTGCATATCAAAGTCTAGCCTAGCCAGGTACAATAGAAGCCTTACAAGCTACAATCACATCCATAGCTAGTTTACAAGCTCTAAATAAGCCAAAAAGATTCATCTCCATCAATCAGATCCACCAGGACATACCAGGACATACCAGATCAAACCCCATCGTATCTCAAATCCAGACGGCAATGCATACACATTCAAATCCTGAATCAATCAATCACTATATAACAAAAGTAATCCTTCCTCTCATGATCTCAAAAAACAAGAGGGAAAAAGACGGTGCTCGAGATACGGTTTCTCTATTTATCAAAAAGGGGGGGCGATAAGGTCCTATTTCGCTACTCCTCATTCCTCTTACTCCTTACTCGCTATAGCACATATTAAACACTACTTATGTATAACATCGCACAAACACATAAAATACCTCAACATACGGTCGAAATATAAAGCCATCATCAATCATTTATGAATTCGTCGCTAAAAACAAAAGAGTGACCAAGGACCTCCACTGAACAATGCACCCCTAGGTATAATG